GTGTGTGTGTGTGTGTGTGTGTGTTTGGATAAGCAGATGAGGCAAACAGATGTAGTTACTCCTAAACGCCACTACTCGAAATCACAATATTTCATTTCAAAAGCCACAGAAATATAAACCAGAGAATATCATTGAACAGTGTCAGCAAACTCCACAGCAATCCACCGTTTTCTTGCTATTTCTCTGTAACCACTGATAAAAACTCTTTGAAGTGGAAGAGTAAATATTACCATTTGATAGTACTTGGACACAACAGTGCAAATACAATCGCATTGTGTTACACTCTGGGGGCTCCAGGCCGGTCATACCACGCACACAGAGTTGCTATGGAGGAACCAATGTGCTTATTATAAGCTCAGGAGCAGCCCAGGATATAGTCAGCCACCTCTTAATCCTCCTCACCCTTACGTAGCAGACACAGAATGTTAAGGGGGAAATGCTGGCGTTGGAAAATGTGTTTCTACGATCCTGGGAAGGTAGGACCACAAATAAGCCATGGGAACCGGCAACTCCCAAACACCAGGTTGCTGTTATTGTCCGCTTTGGCGTGCGGGTGAAGGATGGCAGAGGGGGTGGGGAGGGCAAGCTAACTGGCAGCCTGCGGGACAGCAGGGCAAAACAGCTTGGGGGCACCCGGGTGGGCGACGAGACCTGGCTCAGCTCTCCCAGTCCCGGGCTGAGCCGTGGGACCTACATCCGGTCGCCCGGAGCTAGCATCCCGGGATAGCGAGCGGCTGGCTGCACAGCCCCCCGCCCGGAGCCACTCTCGGTGCCCACGTTGCCTCACCTTGCCCGGGAAGGGCCCCGGCAGCAGCAGCTTGAGAGCCTGCCTCTTCAGCTCCACCAGGCGGGCGTTGCAGTTCTCGCACCAGACGCCGCGGTCTGAGCCAGGGGAGGAGCCGCCGCCGCTGCCTGAGCCCGGGGAGCCAGTGCCAAAGCCGGGAGAGCCTCCCAGAGAGCCCGGCGAGCTGGTGCCGATGCCCGGCGACGCGGGTCCCGGGGAGCCGGTGAAAGAGCTCGGGGATGAGGTGCCGGAGCCGGGGGATGGAGTCCCTGATGAGCCGAGCGCGGAGCCCGCGCCCTCGGGGGTGGGCCGGCTCCCGGCGCGCGACTCCTCGAACGCCTTGCGGTACCAGCTCTCGGGGGAGAAGGACGCCGCCGGCTTGGTGGGCGAACAGACTTCATTCACCTGCGGGAGAGACGCCGGGTCAGGGGCGGTAGGACGGTGGGACCTCGGCTCCATCCCGCTCGCTCCCCTGCGGCGAGCCTGCCTTCCTTCCATCTCCATCCATCCAGTACCGGTCCCTAAGCAAGTCCTATCCCACCTATCCCACCAGTCCCCGCCCGGGTGACCCGGGTCCCCCACGAGGACCCACTCCTCCCGTCAGAATGGCTTTGGGGTAGGGTGGGGTGTTCCTGGCTTCTGCGGGGACACACTGAGACCCAACACCCGGCGCCTTCGAACTCGGTTCCCACCCCCAACCAGAGCCCAGGTACGCGGTACTGGAGCTCCCTATTCCGGGGGTAGGTGACTGTGACCTCGGGGTGCTTATTTATTCAGGGTAGGTACAACCCTCCGGGTTCTGCAGGTAAAGGAAAGGGGCAACGATCCGAGGGAACCGCGGAGTATTCCTAGGACACGCTCCCCTTCGGCTTAACTCTGCCTGCGAGTCCCGGAATATTGCAAAAGTTACGGGTGCGGGCAAAGGAAGGAACCGGGGGAATGAAGGAATTCCGAGAGCTGGGTGAGCCGCAGATTTGGCTCGGCTCGTGCACCCCCGAGCCGGCCGCGGAGACGCTAGTGCAACCGAGAGCTCCCCGCCACCTCCGGCTCCGCAGGGTCTCCCTGCCCCGGAAGGAGGCGACACCCGCCCAGATGGGTCCGGGGACGCATCTCCGCAGCAGCATCCTCCAAAACTTACCCCGTATTTCTTGCCCCTGGTGGAAACCGCAAGCCTCTCTTTATTCCCAGCTACCGAATTCATGGTGGCTTTTCCAGAGGAGAGGGTCTGAAATGTTCCGACAGCGCTACATCCAAAAGGTCTGCCAACCCAGGAGGCGTCCCCCCTCGTGGCAGGGGCTGGTCCTCAAGTCAAGATTTTTTAATGGGGGGTGGGGAAGAATCAAAGCAAATGGATCCCAGAAGTAATACCAATTTGCAGGAAGGGTTGGAGTGGCCGATGATGCTCCTCAAATAAAGCTTTTCCTCATCCTCTGTCTCCTCCAGTCACGCGTCCTCTTTCCACGGTCACATCCAGATCGCTGACATTTTCTTCAGCTGGGTCCGTGCGTTCTCCTACACCGGGTAGAGGAGGGACAGGAGAAGGGCGCACGGCTCGCAGGGAAGGTGGGCGAGCCTTCGCCGAGCCGAGCCGGCCCTGGGAACTTGCCTCCTTCACCAAGCTCGCTAACTGAGTTCAAAGAAATTCTCCCAAAATATAAAGATCCAGACTGGGGAGGAGCCTCGGCGTGTCGCCGAGCCAATATGCGCCGGGGCTCTCCTCCTGACAGTGGCGCGCAGGGCAGGGACCCTGCGGCAGTACGCCGACCGTGGTCAGGACTCGCGTGTGCGCCCGGGCGCAGCGCGGAGCCTGGGGAGCCGCGGCAGCCTCGCCTCGGAGCCCGCCTGGCCGCCGCCGCCCCGCCGGCCCAGATCCATTTTATGGTGCAGCGCTAGGGCCTGACATTGCGAGACGCAGCCGGGCTGGGGAGGGGGGGGTCGTAAATCTGGCTCCAGGCGGGGAAGTTGCTGGCGCGGGGCCCGGGCTCTGATGGAACCCCGCAACGCCGAGAGCCGGGCTGGACCCAAACGCCGAGCCCCAGCCTCTCCGCCCCCGAGTGCTTGGCTCCTCCTGGCCAGGCTTGCAGTTCTGCCTTTGAAACGCCGGGAAAACGGATTGAGTCACTAGTCCGCAAACAGGCCGGGGCCTCCCCCCGCCCTTTGTTCTCCCAGACCTGCCTGGCAAACCTTTTCTAGAATCGTCCTCCCAGCCCTGGGCCGGTGGGGCGGGGGGGGGGGGGGGCTCTCTCCTGGATCCCGGCCTGAGGATCCAGAGCCTTCGCCCCCCGCCCGTCCGCTGGCCCGACCCCGTTAGTGATGGGTAAAGCTCCCGGGACTGGCACAGGTGAGCCCCAGGACGCCGCGGGCAAGCCGCGGGACAGGGGACACTGAGGGATTCCGGAAGATCGCACGGCCTGGACAGGGGGTGTGGCGCGAGCTGACCTTGGCCTCTCCTAGCCCGCAGTCGGTCCCCTCGACCCCTTCGGGGCTTCCCAGCCCACGCCCCGAGCCTGCGAGGTCCCCGGGGCCCCCAGCTGTCGCCTGTCTGATCCCCGCCCCCCACCCGGCTGCAGCGCCCGGAGCACTGGAAGCCCGCGTAAGCTAGGCTCCACACGTGGCTGCTCCGGGGTGTCATTTTTCATTTCCCGGGAGGACATTTCTTCTGGTGAGCCGGCAGGTCTATTTTGTTGTGACCTTTAATTAACACCCGGAGAGACGCCTCCTGCAGGACCGGCCGGGCGCGGAGATCACGTGTGGTGTAATGGCATCTCGGCACCCGGGAGACACCCGGCCTGGGGCTAGGCGAGGGCGTAAAGGACGTTTTGGGCTTTCTAGCCCCTATCTTCCCTCTGAGATATGGATGAGGCAGGAGGGAAGCAAAAAGATCACGATGGGGTCCTGGGACCCTCGGACAGTGCCCCCCATCCAGCCTTTCTGCCGGAACCTTCGTTCCTCCCCTGCGCAGCCACCCCGCAGACCCCCGGCCGGGCAGCCCCGGCATGGGAATATATCACAGCCACCTAAGCGAGGTGAGAAGGTCAAAAAGAAGATGCTGAGAACACTGTGGAAGTTTCCATTACGTTCCTACTTCCAATTTTAAAACGCTCAAATCAGCAGAGGACCTGGGGGGTGGGGGGACAGGTATGCCTCTAGGCAGCACATGCCGGCTCCAGCCGCATCTGTATTCCGCCTGGGTGCCGCAGAAGATATCGGCGCCATTAGCTACGCGCAGCTTATCAGCCGAAAAGCAGCATGTGGCCAGGTGAAATGGACCAGGCGGTGAAGCCCGAATGGGAAAGGTGGAGTGTAGGGGGGAAGCCATCACAGAGCAGCGCCTTCCACTCTGGGGAACCATGAGCCCAGAGCAGAGCTGAGGTGCATCCCAAAGTGTCTGCGGCCCACTGCGTGTTTGATGGGCTCGGGGCGCCCTCTGTTGGTCATATTTTATAACTGACGGCCCCTCAGAGTTTTGAGTAGAGGCTTTTAAAAATCGATGTAAAATTTACGTACAGTGAAATGCATAAAATTTAAGTGTAAAATTCTATGGGTTTCTATAAATATCTATGTAATCTTGGGTAATTCACTATTCTAATTAAGATGTAAATTCCCCTCACTCCAAAAAGTCCTCCCCTGGCTTTTTCCCAGCATTCCCCACCCCTCGTTAGCGATCACGGTTCTGATTCTCATCACCACAAATCAGTTTTGACTGGTCTTCAATGTTTTTGTTCACAGAATCCATATGTCTTTTGTGTTTGGCTTAACATGGGTTTTGGGGTTTAGAGTTCTTGCTCATGTTGGTATGTTTCCTATTCGTGCTCCGTTTTGCAGTCCTCCCTCTGGCTTGCCTCTTTTGTTAATTGAATAATGTCAGTATTCCGCTATCGTTCCTCTATTGGATTTTTAGCTCTAATGATTCTCATATGAATTTTTAGATTACGATGGGCTGTTCGTGGATAACACTGAATACTTCACCTAAAATGTACACTTGCAACAGCAGAACTCCATTTTACTTCTGTCCTTTGGACTAATATTTTAAATCTACATACATTATCAACCCATATTGTGGTCATTTAAATTTTGTCTTAAACAATGTCTTTCCATGAAACCATATTTTTTTATGTTTACCCAGTATTACTATGTCTGGATTCCCTTTCCCTTCCCCCTCTTCTTCCTCTTTTCCTATAATGCTATATTTCTAGCTGAATTGTTTTCTTTCAGCCTAGAGAACTTCCTTTAGCAGTTCTTGTAGTGAGGGTCTCCAGGCAACAAATGGTCTCAGACTCTGCTTATCTGAGAATGTGTTGCTCTTTCTCTGCTTGAGGACTAGATTGACTATGCAGAATTCTTGGGTAATAGCGCTTCCCTCTCAGCCTTTTGATGACGTCCTCTCTTGACTTCTTGCCTTTCTCATCTCTAATTAGAGGTGAGCAGTCATGGTCCTGGATATTCCCTGTGTTATATGTTCTTTTTTTCTCTGGATGCCTTGAAGGACTTTTTGCCTTTGAGTTTCAGAAGGTTGACCATGGTGCTTCTGGATGTGGGTCTCTGTATTTGTCCTGCTTAGGGTTTTATGAGTTTCTATAGCCTACAAATTGATTTAGCAGTTTTTTCACCAGATGTGAGACATTTTCAACCACTGTTTATTCAAATAGTTTTGCTGTCCCATTTTGAATCTTTCTGTCCTTCTAGGGCTCCATAATGTGTATGTTATGCTCCTGATCATGACCCATAGGTCACTGGTTCACTGGTGGCATTTTTATCCCTCTAGTCTACTGATTCTTTCATTTCTGTTGATCCATTATTAAATTCACCAGCTCTTGCTCCTGCTGTTTAGCCCCTTAGTAGACTTGTATTTTCAGATTTTACATATATATAAAATATATAGTCCATCTTTATTTATGTAATATATATTCCATCTCATTTAAATCCCTGGGCATAAACAAATTCCATTTTACTTCTCACTTTGTTAGGATGGTTCTATCTAGTTGTTTACCTCACATCTAAGAGAAATACTTCCTAGTCCTAGGACTAGGGATTTTTTTATTCTTTGCACCTAAGATGGACCTTTCTGGGTTTCAGTGGAAACGTACAAGTTTTCCAAGCACCTTGAACATGACAGTCAAGCTCTGAGCTCAGCTCACCTGTAGCAGGCAGCAGATGACACAGAGGCTCACCTTTCTGCCATCTTCAGGTCATTCTTAGATTTTCTGCATACTCGGAGTTCAAGAATGCCCGTCAAAGATGGGAATGAAACAGGGTTAACTTTAAGGCAGCTTTTCTGTGGCAAGCTATGCTCCAGGATTTTCCCACTCCCTCCTGGCCCATCCAACAGCTTTGAACTCCAGCAGGGCTGACCATAACCCAGGAAGAAGGGCTTCCCTTGCAATCTAGACAGGGAGCTCAGCAGAGCCTTCCTCCTGCAGACTGAGTTCCCCAGTCTCCACCTGCTTGTTCACCATTCTCGAGGCCCTTGAAGTTTCTTGTTAGCATTACTGTCCAGTTTATCACCATATTCTCTGAAATGTTCAATTTTGACTGTAAGGTCTCCCCTAATTCTATTAGGGGCTTCTTTATATCCACCTTCAGCTTATAGAATTCCTTTTTTCCAATGCTGAGATGAAACTCAGGGCCTCACACATGCTGGGAAAGTGCTCTATGACTGAGCCACACCCCAGCTGAGACTGTTCGAATTCCGTTTCAGGGTTTTTTTTTCTGTGATGTGCAGCTGTAAAGACTAGCTATAATCTTGTTTTCCTTAAGACTGAAGAATCCCAATAACCCAACTGCACCTGTGCAAAGAGAGCTAGCCAAAATAGATGGAAAGACACATGTCCTTCCACTTTGAATTCAATGATGTTGATGGCATTTCTTCAAGGTTTAGGTTTTTAAAATACCCTTGTTTTAGGAATGAAAAAAACAATAACTATATGATGGCTTTTAAATCCCAGAGTGTCTGGTAACAGCAATTTATTGGCTCCATTGATAGCCTTGGGTCAGAAGCAGTGTCTCTGGTCCCTCTATGAGCACAAAGTACAAAAGAAAACAACTTGAGTCCAATTACCACATCCCTTGTTGCTTAATTATTAAATGCACATAACTTTTTCGGGAATGCTTCATGTGACTTTTATATTTTCAGAGCATGCAATTTAGCTTTTTCTTTGTTTCTGTCTCAGAGACGAATAGCTCATAAGTTTTATAGCCAAAATATATTATGCCATCATGTTTTGGAAAGCCTAAAAGTATAAATCAGAAATAAAAACCCAAAATCAGCCTGGCAACTCCTAATTGCTACGAAGAACACAGAATGTAACAGATTCCACTCCTTTTTAATATCTTTCCTTTGAACTAATTTCCATTTCAGTCCAGGCAGCAACATGCCAACAGAGCCGGCAGAATGTGTGTGCCAGAGGCGGCTGTGTTTCTCCTTGAAAGATAATTAAAGCAGCTTCCACTGTCCATGTGGCATCTTGATGAATATGCAGATATATTTGCATATGATCTACTGGTGTTCTGGGACCATATGATCATGTGCGGGCTTCCGAGCTGATAACTTGAATTCATGTATTTGGTCACTACTGTCTTGGGAGAGGGCTGTTACCCAGCAAGCTAAGGAAGGCTTTCTACTCTTGGAATATTGTTTCAATCATTAATTAGTTCATCCTTAGAAATTCCTTTCATGCTAAATTCCAAGATTTTTTTTCCTGAGTTGGGGGTGAAACCTAGGTATGCATACACTAAGTAAATGTTCTACCCCTGAGCTATGTTCCCAGTTCATTACCAAGTTTGGGGGGTTTTGGTGGTGGTGTTTAGGGTTTGTTTTTGTTTCTCGGGGTTTTTTTTGTTTTGTTTTTATTTTTATTTAAGACAGATTCTCTCTGTAGCCTAAGCTGACCTGGAACTTATGTAGACCAGGCTGGCCTCAATCTCACAGAGATTCCAACCCCTGCCTCTGCTTCTCAAGTGTGGAGATTAAAGGCATGTGCCATCATACCTGACCAATCCAAGTCTTGATTTCAGCTCCAACTTGCCAGTTCAAAAGACAAAGGTATAGAAAGCACG